AAATTATTACATAATAGGTTGTCGTAGTCATAAATTACATTAAAAAGATATTATTGAATTGAAGTCATCACAAATTTTGTGCATGATATTAACGAAAATTATATTAAATATGTAATGAATATGTTCCTTTCAAAAAAATTGTATAGTTTTTCATTAACAAAATATGATCGAAAACAATCTATAACGTCAGAGAAAATGTGAAATGTTTAATAGTAAACTACGCTACAAATTAATTTAATATATGATTATTTTATTCCTATATATATAATAAAACTAAATTTATATTTTATTTTAAAAAACATTTAATATTATTTAACGCACAAACACTGTTGCGAAAAATAATAGGTTATTTTTTTGTAAAACCAAGGTGTGTAGATTTCAGATTTTACGGCAGCTGAACGTGACTAGAAAGAGCGCTACGGCCAATTTAATAGCATTCATGCGAGAATTGACACTTGACACGTGGTGCCGTTTGACCGAAGGTCGATCGTTATTCAGGATTAAGCATGCGCGTGAAAACAGCGCCAAAATCACTGAACTCACCTAACCAACCGTTGTTTTCATATTCTCTAAAACATTGTTTATAATAACTTCGCTTTTTTTCATTAGTTTACAACCTTCGAGAATATTTATATGAAATTCTACAATAATGCATGACGATAGTATAAAAGAGAAACAAAATTAAAAAACCAGTAAAGGAATTTTGAAGATAATCACTTGCAGCCAATCGGTCATCGACCTTTGCTTTGCAACGTATGTAAATATAATATACGTTTTGCACGCTAGATGTCGCTCATTATGCGTTTTATAATAGCAATCTCAAGAAATTATAAATTATATTATGGATTAAAATCAAAACAATAAATATTATGTAGAGCTTGCATTCGACAAGAAAGATTTTTTGCTCGTTCCGGCTATCTTTATCTTTATTACTTACTCATTATCGCTATATTTTATTTAGTTTCAGACTTATTCCCTCTTTTTACTACGCATCGAACTAATGTGATATTTTCTGCCAATAGGGAAAATATGTGTGACAAGGTCATTTTAAGTAAGAGTAAGACACAGCGTTCCAACCAATTAGACCTACATTCCTTTCCAGTGCAAACTCTTGAGTTTCAATATATTTTTAGATGTTTCACTACATCTTCTTCATTAGAATTAGAATCAGAATCGTACTATTATTGATGCTATGTTAATCATGATCACATTTTAATATTCCGACTTTTTCTATGAACGACGTAAGAGATTCAATAAGTAAATAAATATCAATATTTAAGATATATTGTTATTCATCCTTTAGATCAATAAGAATCGATATGACAGGCCCAATCGACAGGCCCACAGGTCACAGTTTCTTTTCACGAGATGTAAAAGGAGACGATCTTGTATTAGTAACTGTAAGCGACTTCACCTTCCATCAGCAGGGGGCAACAAGCCTGTCAGACAACGATGCGGACACGACAATAATAACACAAGACGGAGAACACGCGAGAAATGGACATAGAAAATTTCTATATATATAGTATATATTGGTAATATTCTTTATACCTCTCGAAGAAAATACAGTGAGTTAAAAAACTATTTATATATATATATTTTTTTTGCCATTATAAATATCATTATGAATAAAATAATATAATATTAATGAAATTTATTTTATAGTAAAGGGATAATTTCGTATTAATATGAATGATTTCAAGTATAACTTTTCATTAGTCATTAAAGATTATGACTAGTATTTGATATAAAATAAATTCAATAATTTTTTAATATGTTGTCGAAAGTATGATTTTAAATAATATTTTTTTACATATAATTCTCAAATTAATTTCCATATATTTCAGATATTTAATATTATATCATTGAAGTTTATCCTTCTGAGCTTGTTAAAAATCTACTTTTACATGAATTTGAAAATCTTTAAGATTTTCTTCATAATATACATAAGATGAAAATTAATTTTGATCATTATAATTTTGATTGTCTAAAGATTATTATATATTTTATTTCACGTTTGGCTGAAATATTTATTTTAAAACATCTGTAAAATATCCATACTCGCTATGGATAGATATTAAATATGGTGATTCACCTATTATATTGTGCTTATACAAAATTGAAAAATAAATCGTGTATTGTGCTGCGAGTAAAAACAGAATTCAATTTAATAATTAATCGAAAGTTTTTCTATGAATAAGTTTTATGAATAATTTAAAAAATTAAAAGTATACCAACTAAAAAAATTATAATGTATACTACATCAAATAAATCTTGAATTAATAATTATCATATTTGTAGAAAAATATAATAATTTAAATATTTAAAAAATAAAAAAATATAAATATAAAATAATTTAAAAATATATAAATAGATAAATATATTGGATAATCATCATGTCATCGCATTAATATATCATTTCAATTTATAAAATTATTGCAATTATAATTGCATTTATGTAATCTAATTAATAATTAAAAAATCTAGAGAATTTTTTTTAAATAGTCAATAATTATATATATTTATATCATTTTTAAATAGCATTCTTATCTGTTCTAGGAATACTAGTTTAAATAAATCTGTGCTTGTCAACACCGCAATTTTTAATTCCTGTACCATTTTTTATGAATAAGCATAAATAATGTAATTATGCAAATTCATTTTCTTAAATGATTCTTATTTTATAGAAATTTGTTATAATGAAATATCTTTTTGGTTTAAAATTCAATAGCTAACTTTTTAAAATCTTGTTTTTCAGGATACCATATTAGATGACTGGAAAGATAAATTCGAGTTGAATTACCGAAAAAATAAAAAAATAAATAAAATAAAACTATATGATCAAAATCTAGAGAAATCAAACTCGAATTTACAATCTTACATTTTTACATTTAATTGATTCATTCATGTTGTTAACATAAATTTAAATATCGTAATAACAAACATAAATTGCATTTAAGATAATAAAAATTCATAAATATTATTCTTGATATATGTGCCAGCTAAAATCATATTTATCATGTAATTTGATTTTTTAATTTTCGATATCTTGATTTGCTAAATGTTATTATACTTATGTAAAGATCTTGTAAATAGAAAGCATAATGCAAAATGCAGCTAAGTTATTGAATATAATAAATTTTTGTCTTAATATCGAATACATAATTATCATGTCAAATTTCTCTATATCAATTTGCTCTTACGCTATATATGCGTAGTAAGTAATTATATATAGCATTATTTATTACAATATGATGCCGTATTTATTTTCATTATTTTCATTGCTGCCTATATTTAACATACTATTTAAAGTTAATTAAAAAAAAAAAAAAGAAAAAAAATTATTATTGATTTAAATCCATATTATAAGAAAATATAAATAAAGTTACACTATAAAATAAATCATTCTACAAACATAACGAGAAAGCTAGTGTACTCAAAGTTTCGAATATACAATTTTCTTTTCGCATAAGTAACGGGTAAAGTCTATCCTATAGACGTAAACATTCTAGGGATTTTTATGCGTAGAGGTTGACCTGCTTGGAATCTGGTATAATTACGTTCCCATTTGAACCGCTTTTAAATACATATACGTATCTATTCTTACTCTTAAAACTATGGATCAATAAATGAACAATCGCGCAACATTAAACCTCATTCTTATAAAAAAAATATATATCAGCTCCTTCATGAGACAATTTAAAATACATAAGATAGTAATCCACGAATGAATAATTGACAAAGAGAACAAAACAAGAATAAGTAGGAGGAGTCGAGGCAGACACAAAATTAATGACAATAAAGCATGCCGAAGAATAAAGAGCAATATAAGGAAAGATAAAAGGTGAACGCTAACTAAGAGAGATCCAGTAGCGACCAGAGGATTGGTCAACCTTATATTGGAAGAGGAAAGGTTCGCAACGATCCCCTCTCCTCCCACTCGCTGTCTTCCCTGCGACCTTCCAACCCTCCCTCCATGCTACATCTTCTCATCTATTCTTATTCCCGCGCGCGTTATGCCCGGTCATTACGTATGCTAATATTTACATTTAGATTGCACGGCTTAATCGAAGTGACGCCATGCGGTAATATAGCCGGCGCCATGGCGCTAAACCGTGGCGCCCGACCTATCTCTCCTCTCTCTTTCTGCCTGCATGACAACCGATCTTGTACGCTCTTCCTCTCCATGTTTCCCATTCTCTTCTTTTTTCCCTACTTTGCCTCTACCGTTTCTTTATCACCAACCTTTTTTCTCTACTGCCTTTTCTGTCTCTACCACTCTCTACACGTTAATTCGATGTCTCTCACGGGTCGTTATTTCGCTTATCTACTGTGCTCTACCAATGCTCACCACAGGATGGCACTGTTCTCACTGTCGAGAAATCAACTCGCGCCATTTTTTTTTCACAATTGACATTTTTACGTGAGAACCAAGAGGGCGCTTCTTGTATTTTAAATAATTGAAAATTATTAATTAATTATTAATAAATAGAAGTTGAAGTGATAAAATAAGTATAATTGTCTAGTAATGTTCATTTGAGTAAATTTTTTTCAATTTTCAAATAAAAAATTAATTGGAGAAGTTTGAAAAAATAAAATATATAATGAATTATTTAGAACACTTTCAAAAAACTCTTTTTTTATGGATTTTGATAAATTTAAAATATTTTAATCTTTACAATTTGATCTTCAAATGACAATTATCTATTATCTTAATAAAAATTTTTTCTATTGCATAATTATCTTTTTACAAAAATAATTAAAAGAAAAATCGCTTTACAAACTAAACAAAATATAACATACATCAAGTGAAATTGCAATGAGATATTGGTAAGTATTAAAGATCATGGCAGAATTGGAATAAAAAATATTAAGTTTCCATTATTTCAAAGATACAGACTATTGTAATTAAAATAAATTTAGAATAACTAGATAATAATATGCCTTCCCAGACATTTAATAATTGCAATTGAATTCAAAGTTTTTTTTAGTTATCTAATAACTTTTTAATATAATAGATTTCAATGCTAAACACAATTTCTGGGATTCAAGATCAACAAACAACAAAAGCTAAAACTATACTAAGAAACCAATGAAAGTTAATTATTAGTCCTTTCGACTAATAATTATAGATCCATGTATTGTGACCAACAAATCCTAATACTTGACTTACTGAACTTTGCTATCATCAACGTCAAAAGCAATAGCAGCTTTCAGATCATTGAATTTAGTTCAGATCAATATGTCAATTTTATTTACAATCAACTCGAAAGTCACGTTATTTACTAATCAACGTAATCTAACAAATAAAAGAACAAATAGAAATAACTAAGAATAGAAATATGAAAAACAAATTAAAATGCATTATTCCAATGAAGTCTATTTACAACATAGAAGCAGAACGACAGAGTAGATAATAATCCTTTTGCAAATACCAATTATTGAATCTACTTATCACATATCAAATGAAAATTATTTAAAGTATCCACATATTAACTTGGTATTTCATACAAATCCCTTAATGCGAATTGCTACATTGCTTGTTAGCATTATCTATGTAAAAAAACTGAAATGCAAATATCCTTTAGATAAAATAATTTAAACCCTATCACATAAATCATATAAACACATTAGAAATATTGACAGGCATGATTTGATACTTGTTGTAAACTTAAGTAGCAAAATTCAAATGTTATTTTATTTATTATATAACTATCTATTAATGTTATGTAAATAAAAACTGGAATTTAAAAAAAAGAAGAAAATTTATAATGGAACGTGATATCAATAAAAAGAAATAATTAAAATATTACAATTGCAAATACGTGGAAGTGTCTGTCACGTAGTAATACGTTTTTTGAATTGCTAAAACAGTGTTTTCAATCAATGAGGAGTAGGGCACGCATACTAATCTTACTATGTATGATAATACCAATAGTGATAAACTGTTAATTCCACCTAATTGTAAGTTCTATTGCAAGAAATCCTACTTTTCTTGTAGCCAATTACACAAAAATAATGTTACAACATCATTAGACATGCTTAACATCGCGTCTGATTGGCATTCCTATTCAATGGGTTACGAGTAGACAAGAATATATATATAAAAAATAAAAAAAATAAAAAAATACAGGATGACAAAGAAAGTGTATTCTTATGATTGTAAAAAAAAAATCTTTCCATTGTCCAGAATAGAAATAAGAAACGCACGAACAATGACTATGGATTTATCCATGGTTAATAAATGACTAGCTAGCTAATTGATTCTAAGTAACCAATAAATTGCGCTGCTCATTGTAAAAGTGATGAATATATGCGTTTGATCGAGTGACTATCTTTTCATTCGATGTTTGTTCATCAAAGAACCTACGCTTTCACCAACTTGATGAAAAATTACAATTTTAATTTTAAAATATGTGTAAGTCATGATTAGTGATTCAAAATTATAATTTCAATTCTTGGAATATGAACACAAATGCAATGGCTGGGTCAAATGTAATCAATATAATCATTTACATTTTATTTAATTTTTCTTATCTTAAATTAAAATCATTGTTAATTATCAAGTTGATTGATAATCAAAAATGAACTAGCAATTGACATGGAAACATTTATAAACTATTAAATTTGCAACTTGATTAGAATTCTGTTTCAGAGAAATTCTTCTATTTAAAAGAATACTAAATTCTAGGTCTCATTGGTGACCATATTTCCATATAAAAGCAACAGGAATGGGCGCAAGTATTTCGACCATTTCATTTATTCTATCCACATTCTATGATAATTAATGATGATATATGGAATTCCATTCAAAAAAGAAACAGAGCCAAATAAATGTTAGAAGAATTTGGCACATGCCATTGAAGTGAAAGTTGCTATTTAAGAGACATTTTGAAGAATAAAAAAACGGATTCTAGCGTAACTATATAATATAAAGATCTGAGGTAGAATGAGAATAGATAAATGGATAAATAATTTCTTTATTATTTTTTTCGCAAACTTTACGCTACTATGCTAAAAGTTAAAAATCGTTAAAAAAGATTAGTAAATATTTTAAACAAATGTTGCGAACTTTGATACATTTTACATCATTGCGGAAATTGAAACTATGAATATCAAAAAGTATTTTCAAGAACAATTATTTTCAAGAAATTAAAAATAATATTATAATAATAAAAAAAAAAAAACGAAAAAAATAAAAACTTCGAAAAAATCGTTGAAAAAAAGAAAGCTTCATATAATGACAAAAAGTAACAAGTAAAATTCTTTTGCTATTTTACAGCATTAAAAAAAAGATATTAATCTACTAATCTTTGCTAATAGGAACATTTGACAATTATAGCGATAATACAAGTAAAGATATAAAGTGAGAATGGTCGATCATGATTACATAGCATTGCAAATACGATTATCAAATCGATAGGATCGATAGAGAAACGTTCGAAGGATGCGTGAAGAAAGAACGAGGGAGCCCTCTGGTAGTCGATAAAAACAACGATATGGATAAAAGAGGCGGTGATCATTGATAAATGATTTATATAAATCATTTGATTCTCATTAATGCCTCCAGTCTCTCAATATATATATATATTCTTTCGTTGATATTTACGACCTATGATTATTTCAATTTCACTATTGATAATTAACCTTTTTTTCTTCGTTTTTTCTCTTTGAAATATTTATGGTTAGATGCTAATGCGAAGAAATGTCAACGATATATATTTTACTTTATTTTAAGGTACATATCCATTCCGACAAATTGAACTAATTTATTATAACATATTTTTTCATTTTAAGATATAATACTGGATCTATACTGGTTCGCAAATAGAATATTGCTGTTTATGTCCAATCCAATAATACTAAGCAAAACATAACCTATACACGCTGGCAGGATATTTCTTTGAAACAATGATCGATATTATAAAACTTTTTTTATATTATGGTAATATTTTTTTGTTTTATAACATTTATGTATTATACATAACATTATGTTTTATAACATTATTATACATATACATTTATGTATTATGTAATAACTTGCATAGATGCAAATAGTAAAACATAATGATTTATATAGACAAAATAAAAAATTTGATAATTATTTAGAAATATCAAATATCACTTTCGATTTCTATGATTTTTTAATATATCGTAAATTAAATATATTAATATTATATTTTAATATTAATATAATTAATATCGTATATTAATATTTTAAAAAATTTTATCCTATATGTAATTTTCCCTCAATTTTAATTTTAGAAATATTTAAAAGAAAACATTGTTATATAAAGAATTAAGTGTCTACAAAGAAAAATCACAATATTACTTACTGGAATTTCCCGGACAAGATTTACAGCATCGATCTGGAAGAAGAATTGGATCTTTGCACGTGAGTTCTGGGCATTCGTTCTTGATGTTACGACAATGGACTCTCGCTACGATTCGTCGTTTCTTTTGTATCTGAAAGCAAGATGTATTTACAGATGCTTAACAAAATATATATAATAAGACTCTATAATAATTTTTATGCCAAGATGCGCAAAAAAAAAAAAAAAAAAAAAAAAAA